GTTGGTTGTCTAACCTCATCCATTGAAACCTTATAAAATCCCATTGCTAATTTCGATTCAAAAACCACCTTTAATGATTAATCACATTTTTACAAGTTGTCACTACAAAGAAAATTATAAGTTCTTAATTCACCATCAGAAAAAATTCATAACTCTTCTGATTTCAACTTGTTCTCACTGAAACTGCATACGTTATATCCCTATTTGTTTTTTTAAGAGTTACAGCTTATATTTCTGCTTACTGTGGAAAGTATGATTTGTTTTACTGCGTACCAATCTTGATCTTAAAATGATTAAAAGTAGGTGAAAAAAATTACTTCAAAGAAAATATCCTACTCAGTTGGCGTCCGATGTTTGCCTTTAATGGAATTTTCGTGGGTGATTCATATGTATGTCTGTGTTTGGGTTATTGATAAGGTTCACAAGGAGTGTCTTCGAATTTTGAAATTTTCTTTCAGTATTTTCCGTTCCATTTTAATTGTCAGATGTTTGATGACATTTCGACTGTCAACTGTTTCATTTTTCGCCAGTGTAGCCAATTTAGCTTTAGGGGGTGTCTAACCAGATACAACCAAACATACCATTACTTCATTCTGTTCAGATTGGTCCGTTATCCATGGAACATGCAAATATTGATAGGTCGAAACGCTATTACCCTATCTTCCAAAAAGAAGAAGAAAAGGAATTATTTTCTGATCAGTCAGGATGGTAGATTTCGAGGAAGCTACAGATGTCTGCCATACAGGTGTTTTTGGGTTTGTTCGGCTGACGAATCCCGAATTTGTTAAATGATCCTTAGTGGATATTCCGTCCTACCCATCTTATCATCAACCACAACGTCCTGGCTTTCGAAAGAGGCCTATATTGAACATTTACGACAATTTTGTGTTTGAATACTTTGTACCATGCCACGCTTTTTTACTACAAGATAAAACCGTTCACGGAAGGTGAGTTTTCCAACTTTTCTTTTCAAAAAGACTTATAGAGTTGTTGTACCCGGATGATTTTTACCCAGGGAATTGTCACGGTTTCTGTTCTGGTTGGTTATCTGTCAAGCTTTGGTTTAACCCCACGTCTACATCTTAAGGATATATTTGGTATTATGGTTCCAAAAGGGCTCCCTTGCCCGAAATGTACACTCCATGGTTCAGCCTGATGTACAGTTGATTGCACTCAGAGAGAATAAAGCTATCGTAGTATCACTCCACTCATCACTCCAGTCCTGGTTGGCCTGGGATTCCGTACTGAGTTTTCAAAGTGCTGTCGCCAGAGGAACAGGTTTCACTTATATATTTTTTATACAGGATAAAATCCTACCATTTAAATTTTTAATTATTAATGTACATTCAATCTAAATACACTCAGGTTGAAGTATATGTTTTTCAACTAATATATGTAAACCACCACATAGTACTATGCGCTGGGAAATTAATTTCCTGAAACATCTTCTACCTAATCAATTAACCTCTTGAAGTATCTAATATTGAGTATTATTATTAGAATTACAAGTCTTATTTCTGGGAAATTTTACTCTGAACCATTGAAGAGTTATTTATATTAAATGTTTGTATGTTTGATAATGTTTTATTCATTTAGTGATTAACCCTACAATGCGTATTGTTGCAGATCTGATACAACTACGTTTAAACGTAAAATTTAAGCACTGCGAGTGCTAAGTTCCCCTTGTAACTATTGTAGACAATCTGATACATCCTTATGTACACGTTCGAGTGGTAAACTATAATTTTTTAAGAAATGTCGTCATTGAAAATGAGATGTATCATATCTGATACATTATACTTCAGTGCTATTTTTAATTGTAGGTGAAATTATGTCGAAGACAAATAATAAATTGTCTAGGAGGTGGCTAACCCAGGAAGAGCTGGAAGATATAATTGCACATCTTTCGGAGAGTAAATATGATTATGACACGAAAGAAAGCGATAAAGAAGAATAGGAATATATAGATCAAGAAATTAGAAATTCTTTACTAACCATGCCAATTGAATTCGAAGATGGATTATTGATTCAAAATAATGTTATGGAGAATATTGAAGACATCTCGGAGGAGGAAGAAGGTGAAAGAAATGAAGGAGAACTAGAAAAAGAAGAGGCTCAGTCTACTGAAGTGAGAGGAAATTTGAAACAGATCCAGAGGGACCCTAGGAAAGAAGCGAAGGAGTTGAAAGAAAGATATAAAAATATTTTATGGCGGAAGAAAAATTTGATTCTAGATGACGATGCTATAACTTTCCGAGGAATAACAAATTTTCCACCAGATATAGAAAGTCTAAGCAGTCCTTTGTCATTCTTTAGATATTTTTTTGATAAAGAGCTCTTGACAACAATAGTAGACGAAACTAATCTATTTTCTGCACAAAAAGATAAAAGCAAACCTGCTAAAATAACAATAGAGGATATTAGCAAATATATTGGAATTTCTATATATATATATGTCTTTAGTGCATATGCCTGATGTGAGAAGTTTTTAGTCCTCCACACTTGGTTTCGACAAAATCAGGGAAACGATGATCCATAACCAATTTGTAAAAATCAGACAATATCTACATTTTAATGATAACACAAAAATGAAGCCAAGAAATCATCCTGAACATGACTGGCTGCATAAATTACGGCCTGTTATAAAAAAATTGAATGATTAATTTCATTCTGTTCCACTACAGGAATATCTGTGTGTGGATGAACAATTATGTGCAACAAAAAGCAGACACTACATAAAACAATATCTACCTATGAAGCCCCACAAATGTGGGTACAAGCTAAATGTGGGTACAAGGTAAATGTGCTTTGTGAAACAGATGGATTTTCGTATAAATTTGAAATTTATACCGGCGATGAAAATAATCCCAAGTACTGAAAACCGGAAGAGCCAGATTTAGGATCAAGTGCCAATATTGTCATACGTTTATGCAGGAATGTACCCCATAATCAGAACTAGGGTATATTTTGACAATTTCTACACTTCAATTCCGCTAATTGTTTACTTGGCCAACTGTGGAATACTTTCTCTTGGAACAGTAAGAAGATCAAGAATACTTAATTGCAAAATGGCTAATGATGGCATAAGAAAAGCGTGGAACTTCTCAAGAATTTGTGGCTAATATCGAAGGCGTGGAAATTTCATCCGTTCTGTGGAAAGATAATAAAATAGTAACCCTTTTGTCCCTTTCACTGGTCAATTACCTTTATCGCAAGTGAAACGTTTCGACAAAAAAGAGAAAATAACTGTATATATTCCATGCCCCAATCTTGTAAGGGAGTACAATAGACATATGGGGGGTGTCGACCTATTAGATGGTTTGATTGGTCGCTACAAAATTGCAATGCGTACTAAAAAATGGTACCTGCAATTATTTTATCGTTTGTTTGACATGACAATAATAAATTCTTGGTTGTTATATAGGAGAGTCAACATGGGTCGAGGAGAAACATATTTAACCCTAGCAAAATTCCGTGCTGAAATTGCATAATGTTTGTGTAACCAATGAAGTACATTTACACCGAAAAGAGGAAGGCCAAGTGATATTGAAAAAAATATTCAAGCTAAATTGAAGCATGAGGAAAATTCCACATTTAATAAAAATCAATAGCGATTTTTATCCACATTTCTTGTGTTGGAGTAGGCATCAGTTCTTTCGTGAGATGTGTAATAATAATTTCGCAAGTCTCTCGTACAATTTTGTGAACTGTACTATGTCCTAGACGATAGCTAAACGATATTGTGTTCACTGCGTCTCCAGTAGTCAAATATCTAAAAAAAAACATACAGTGAAGATAAAAAAATTGTACAGCAAACGAGTAGTATTATTGCATTCTAAGACTAAAACCAACATTGATGAGGAAGTAGATACCGAAGAATTCACAGGTGATAATTGAACAACCTCTACGAGACTAGACAAATTGCTCTGTTGCAAAACTTTATGAATTATCATAGTTTATTTTCAACACAAGCGATTATACGAGAAGGTTTAATAATCTTCAGAATTCATGCACATATAATAGCAAATAACTACAAATATTTCCGAATATAATATCCCCATAACCAATCTCATGATTTTACCCCAACAACCTTTCCTTTTGCTCAACACGAATATTGGACAACTGCAACAAGATGCCCAGAAATTGAGAACTTATACTGCACAACTTTCCAACTTCAGATAACACAACCATGCATTGCCGACATAATCAAATCCGTCAACACTATTTGCGAAGGAATATCTGTTACTCCTAGCCAAACGAGGATAACCCAGGTAAACGCACATCAGGTACTAGTGATACCAGTTCAGGCAGTTACCCTACAAGCCTATTGGGAAACAAAACGGTATATACCAAATCACGCAGCCATCGTTAATTACCCTAGCAAATTGTAAGGGCATTTTATTTCCAGAAGTTTAATGGGTTTTCCATTTTCAAAAATAATCCCATCTGGTGAATATCCAAACCAAGGATATCTTTTATTGATAACAAAACCAACAGTATGCACTTCACATAATGAATATTGCTTTTTATAAGCATTTAATGCATGCTGCTCATATTTCTTTCCATGCTCAGTGAATTTACTACTGAAGATTTTTGGCCAAAAGTAATTAATTGCCTTCTCAGACCAGTTTTCTTTAGCATAAGTATAGACTGAATATATTCTAGAACTTAAAAAAATACATATTCATATATTTGATATTATAGATGGGATGAGTAAGTTTCAGAAAAATTTGTCTTCAACTGACCTGTAATTCTCAATTTCCTGAGATTCTGCCATTTCGTCACTGACTGATTCACTGCTGCAGCATCCAGAATAGCATCTCTATGATTTCTTTACAACAGTCATTTAGGGCAAATTCTGGCAGTTTCATATTTTCCAAAACAGAATTATTGGCATTTTCAAGTATGGCGCTGATTACAGCTGTGGTATCAATTGTATCTAGCTTTCTGAAACCAACATAAATGAATTATTTTTATGCTAGAGCAAAAACTAATTACATTACCTGCGCTCCACAGGAACTTTTCCAATATTGCTGTTACTGCTTCGTTGTTCGAAAACATATAGGGCAGATAATGTTGCCTAGAAAATGTATAACATTAATTGATGACAGTTCGAAATTATATCCGTCTTACTTACGAAGCGTTCAAAATTCTTATCATCAACAGCTTTATTTGTTTTGTAGGAAAAACAACATCATCTTCGATCCTTGCTTTACTTTGATGGTAAAAGCTAGTGGTGGGCTCTGCTTCATAAATAGCCTTTATGGCTTCTTTCTCTTTACCCTATGCTTGGGTAGTTGCTGTACAACTGAATTCCAGTTCTTCAATTCTAAAAATATATTGATAGCAGAAAATTCTTATATTCTGAATAGTAGGGCATAGATAAATAGTCATCAACATCAAGAAAATAATGTAAAATTGAAAGTTGATCCAACAAACATGATATTATCATCAATGGGACCCACCTGTTACTGTAAATCAGCACTGCAGCTACGTGCTTACAAAAGCCAGATTGTCCAGCTTTACAAGAACAAACACATGTCCAATTGTTTACAGGATTACTCAAGTATAAATTGACTTCATGAGGCTTGGATGTTAAAGCTGAAGTTTGTAGAACGAGTCCAAATACTTCGAGATTATCTACACTCTCAACTTGACACAAAATAACATGTCCTACTTTGAATACTTGTTCGCCTTCCACTATCGGCCTATTTCTATTTCCAATATATTCGAAAAATCCCCTAAAGTGATCACAACACGCACCATCTTTCACTAATAAACTTCACCACTAAACATTCAAAATGGCTTTTATTATTGTTTTCCCCATTCCACTGACAGATTTGACAGATACTGCAGCGTCAACTATCGGACAAATTTCCTCGAATTGATTGAATCAATTAGTGCATATAATTTAAGTTTAGCAATAGATACAGAATTGAGTAGGTATTGGGTATTAGGTATTGGTGAAAATAATAATCTGAAACATAAATTTACCATAAGAAGAGAGAGAAGATTATTACAAATTTTCCCAAAGAGATATTATCGGAATACTATCAGGAAATGCTTTAATGTTAGTTGGAAATAGATCAGAAATTAGAGATTGGGATACTTTAAAGAATCTGCTTATGTCCTTGTTCAAAAAATAATGATAATGAAACCTTCTTCTCTTTGGGTCAGAGAATGCAGAAAAGTAGGAGTACAGTAACTTCAAAATTAGTTTCAATGAACCGTGGTTTAACAGGGAGAATACAATACATGGTTAGTGTACGAAATCCAAACTCTTTAGAAGTAGCCATTTCTTATGTTTTAGAAGAAGATAATTCCATTTGTAATCGAAACCCAAAAAAATTACTTTCAAAATCCTCTTCAACAAAATAAAACGATGCCTCCAAGACCGCAAATCAATTCAAACCGCAACCATCAATTTCAAATTTTCGACAACAAATGCCAGACCAAATTTCAATATACTAAATTTCCAAAATAAAAACCAACCACTGGTTGAGAATTTGAGATACCAATTTCCATCTCAACCTATCCAGTTACAACCGAGACAAAATAAGCCCTCTCCAAAATATTTTACTAACCAACAAGTCTTTGGAACACCCCTAACGTTTTCAAACCTACTGGACAAGTTATACAAAATAAACCAGAACCGATGTCAACAACGTCTCGCAACCTAACGATACAACAAAATCGTAATCTTAATAGAAATTATTTTCAAAATTCCGGTCCAAGAAATTTCAGGTCATAATATAGAGACTAAATACTTACCAAATGATCAGTTAGAATTTGATAATCCCTTCGAAAACCAACCATATGAATGTTCTGGTGTCTTAAATCAACAAAATGACCAAAATGCTCATAACGACAATTTTGAAAACTCTCAGGACACTCTATTTAACCAGTGCCCATATGAAAATGATGACGAAACCGAGAATTTTACTTTCGAAGAAAATTTTTAAAATAATAATTCACTTCATGAAACATAATAACATTAAATTGTAAAATGGGGGATGGGGGTACTGCTATTCTGTCTCTCACCTTTTTATAGACCCTTTGTTTGTGTTCTTTGTACCTTTTCCAACGACCTACCTTTTCACACAAAAGACAATAGACCGTAATAGTGAATCTCCAAAGTGATAAATGATTGTCCACTCGAAAACTTCAGAGAAGTTAATACCAGACAAGTGATGTTACATATAGGGTACGGTATTGCTTCGAGCAAGTCAGACTGTACCTCCCGACGAAGCTCCTATTATATTATGTAATAGGAGAGGAGGCGCACTGGTCAAATGCGCCGGATTTAGGAAGCAATGACCATAAGAAGCAGAAGAAGAAGAGCAAAGGGTGCGACACCAACCGTCAAAAGTTTGAACTTCCAGAATGGGGAAAACAAACCCAGTCTCCATTTGTTTGCGTGTTATTTGAGCAGTGGTTTAGAAGAGATTTCTCAGTTTATGAACGAATTTTGTGAAGTTTTTTGTGTCAGAATACTGATTTAGATTGGACTAATGACTAGCTAGTGCAAGAGGTATTGTTCGGTGCCGCAGTGTAACCAGTATAAAGATACAAATGTATCGATACACAGCTTCCTCGCAGATGCAAAATTACGCAAAGTGTGGCAGAACGTTTTACAGATTGGGAAACCTATTTCCAAATACATGTCTGTGTGTAGCAAGCACTTCGTACAAACAGATTATAAATGTAATTTCAAGAAAATATTCTGATGTTTAATCTGTTTTAATACATTTATATTTCAAGGTAAATGGAATCCAAATGCCAAAGTTCATTTTTTGCTACCAGATGCGATACCTTCACAAAATTTACCAGTTACCCTTCACCAGAATATTAAACCTGTTATTGCTAGATCTTTTCGAAAAAGAAGGTGAGTACTTCATTCCTTGCTCCTGCTAATTTTAGCTTCAACCTAAAGTCTACACGGAAAGCGAATGACAACACAACACAAGCATACCGATTGCTTAGGTAGGTCAGTTGTTTTCCCTGAAGTGGAATCACATAACCAACATTTATAATATGCAAAATTGTATACTGTTGTTGAATAAATTTGAATTGAATTGACTTAACAATATCAATAAGGGCCTTCAAGCAATGAAACTTATCATTTTCAGAAACTTGAATGAGTCAGACCAGGACAAAGCTTGCGCAAATATAGAATTTCCTCACCATAGTGATGAAACTGACAGGACAACAGATGAAGTTTTCATGGAAAATGCAAGTGTTGAAAACATCAGAACAGAAATTGAAAGACCATCCACTTCGAGAGAACCACTTATTCATGATCAGGAACCAGTGAAAAATGTTGTTGAGTTTCTAGACAAGGGGACACAGTCTAATATTGTTTCATCATTTGAAGAACGGCTAGATACAGAGAAAAAGTGCATTTCTTTTACTGGTGTTAGTAGTGATGTGGTAGATACCTGTGTTATATGTATTAATGAAGTGATCAAGGCAAACAATGGACAGTGCATTGCTGACATTAGGAAGAAAGTTGTTCTTGTTTTAACAAAGTTGAAAAGTTCCTTTGCTTGTTTGTCTGTCATGTTTGATTATTCTCCAAGTAGTTGCTCATAGTATTTTTATACTGTTTTGCACTTATTGGCATTAGCAGTGAAACCAGTGGTGTATTGGCCCACCAAAAATGCAATTCTTGCTAATATGCCAAAGTGTTTTGATAAATATAAAAATACACGTGTCATTCTTGATTATACGGAGATAAAAGTTCAAAAATGTAAATGTTTGAAATGTAGCATCCGAACATATTCTCACTATAAGGGAAGTCATGGGTAGTTTTTTTTTCAAAAATCTTGCCATCACAATGATTGATTTATGTGACAAATAATATAATAACAGGAGTTTGTTCTATCTCAACTCTCAACATAATGTATTATAGTAATTATTCAATATTTCATCTTCGAAGATATATATATAAACAATCTGGGAAAATTATATTCTTTTTCAGTTTTCAAATTCATTTTTATTGAGACAATAACAATGAATCATGTTTTTGAAATACATTTCATTTGATTTCAATATTAGAGATCTTGCAAATTCTTCATCAAACTCGACCATGATTATAGAAAAGGTGTTGGTCGCAGAGGCATAAATGACGAAATCTGTCTTTTTTACATTCAGTAGAGCCATTCCAAATTGTACCTGTCCATAATATAAATGTTTCCTTTTCAGGAGCCACATATCTCCTCTTCTCTCTAAGTAATTACATTCCTCTAATATTTTTGGAGCACTGTTCTCTTTACCTGGAATCATAAGATTAGGATTGGATTAGAATGGAGGTATTAACCATATAGATAATTCAAAACAATTATCAGATTCTTAGCAGTATTCGGGTTCACAATAAATACTTATTTAGGACAGTTCAAAATAGTCACCCACCCAATTTTTGTAGATATATTCTCGACAAACCCTTCACGTTTGAACAGTCCAACTATTTCGGACCATTCCTCGACTGTTTTTGTTGTGAACCCGAACACAACACTTATTTATACAAATATAGATTCAACTTACCGGAATAAGGGCATTTTATTTCCAGAAGTTTAATGGGTTTTCCATTTTCAAAAATAATCCCATCTGGTGAATATCCAAACCAAGGATATCTTTTATTGATAACAAAACCAACAGTATGCACTTCACATAATGAATATTGCTTTTTATATGCATTTAATGCATGCTGCTCATATTTCTTTCCATGCTCAGTGAATTTACTACTGAAGATTTTTGGCCAAAAGTAATTAATTGCCTTCTCAGACCAGTTTTCTTTAGCATAAGTATAGACTGAATATATTCTAGAACTTAAAAAAATACATATTCATATATTTGATATTATAGATGGGATGAGTAAGTTTCAGAAAAATTTGTCTTCAACTGACCTGTAATTCTCAATTTCCTGAGATTCTGCCATTTCGTCACTGACTGATTCACTGCTGCAGCATCCAGAATAGCATCTCTATGATTTCTTTACAACAGTCATTTAGGGCAAATTCTGGCAGTTTCATATTTTCCAAAACAGAATTATTGGCATTTTCAAGTATGGCGCTGATTACAGCTGTGGTATCAATTGTATCTAGCTTTCTGAAACCAACATAAATGAATTATTTTTATGCTAGAGCAAAAACTAATTACATTACCTGCGCTCCACAGGAACTTTTCCAATATTGCTGTTACTGCTTCGTTGTTCGAAAACATATAGGGCAGATAATTTGTTGCCTAGAAAATGTATAACATTAATTGATGACAGTTCGAAATTATATCTGACTTACGAAGCGTTCAAAATTCTTATCATCAACAGCTTTATTTGTTTTGTAGGAAAAACAACATCATCTTCGATCCTTGCTTTACTTTGATGGTAAAAGCTAGTGGTGGGCTCTGCTTCATAAATAGCCTTTATGGCTTCTTTCTCTTTACCCTATGCTTGGGTAGTTGCTGTACAACTGAATTCCAGTTCTTCAATTCTAAAAATATGATTGATGAGCAGAAAATGCTTATATTCTGAATAGTAGGGCATAGAGAAATAGTCATCAACATCAAGAAAATAATGTAAAATTGAAAGTTGATCCAACAAACATGATATTATCATCAATGGGACCCACCTGTTACTGTAAATCAGCACTGCAGCTACGTGCTTACAAAAGCCAGATTGTCCAGCTTTACAAGAACAAACACATGTCCAATTGTTTACAGGATTACTCAAGTATAAATTGACTTCATGAGGCTTGGATGTTAAAGCTGAAGTTTGTAGAACAACTCCTTATATACCTCCAGTGATTCAATGTTTTAATTGTCTCCTTTATGGACACATTCGAAAATATTGCAAAGGTAAACAAAAATGTTTTTTTTGTACTCAAAGTCACATAGATGAAGACACATATAAAACTTGTGATAAGTCACATATAAAACTTGTAATAAGACACATATAAAACTTGTAATAACATAAAATGCCTCTTTTGTGGAAGTACTGAACATAAATCCAACAATAAAATATGCAAGGAATGTGAATGTCAAAAAAATAGGAAGAAAATGATATTTGAAAATATTTCTTTTTATAAAGCTGTCAAACACTTTCCAAAAGAACCAACTTCTTATAATCCTCAAGCTGACGATTATCCAATATTGCAAAATAGATATACATTCAATAATAATAATATTTCAGTAGAGCAACAGAGAGAGCAACGCAAAGGAACTTATATGGCATATGGCAAACAATAAAACAATCAAAGATTCAAAAGATGATACGCACAAAGCGTACATACATGATAATATGGACTGGCCGTGGCGTCACTTCTACTCTACACATCACATATTCCAACCACAGACTATTACAATCAGTATTCTGTGATTCCAACTGCCGATCACACATCTTGGACACTGCGTCACGGCACTATTTGTCAAATTATGGAAATATGCCACACGTGACGTACTGCATTAGTGACGTGATGCCAAAACGTGAATCTCTTCATCTTTTTTTAGTTGGAGTCAATGTTTCCTCTTCAAAGGCCATTATTCCATATTATGACGTCACTGGTTGTTGGCGTTTTTTGTTGGTGTTTTTATAACATCCGCTACGGACCTGTGGAGCATTAGTATTTTGTATCTACAAGTATACAGTTGCCTATCTAAACTTGTTTTCTGTAGTATGTGCCAAGAAGAAAACTATTATGTTACATGGGTGAGGGAATGGCTAGAAGTTATTATATATGATATGAACAAAATAATAATATTAAAATAGACATAACTTACTGGTAGTGAGGTTACATGTAAAAGTTTCTACTTTCACACTACACACTAAATTATTTGAATATTCAACAGATGAAACAAAACACGTAGAAAACCACCAATCCACTTTAATGAAAAATGAAAGTCGGTTTGGCAGAATAGAATTTAAAACTATCTTCTTGGCCTCTGCAACCCAGGCTATCCGGTCAGTTGTTAATGAATATCAATCATAAAACCAAAGGCGTTTAATGATATTTTAGCGTGTATTCAAAAACGATTCGTCGGGACGTCATTAATAATTAGATTCGCCAGAATGGAATGATTCAATTTGTGTCAGATGTCAATTCAATAATAAAAACAAACTCTTCAATTTAATCGGGTGATGACCGTCATCACCTGAAGACGGTTGTGGATACTAACAATCGAAACTTCGTGAAGTACCTTGGCTTGGAGTCTCTCAACTTTTATTTTTATTTTTTGTTCAATTGTACTATTTTTCATTTCACTAATATTTCATTTCATGTTTTTTTGCTTAATATAATTGTTATTTTCAGCTATTAATTTTTAATTCTTATTTTTTAGTTCTTTCAGGGGTTTCAAATCATTTTATATAACATCAGACATGGAAGTCCTAACAAATGAAATTCATCATGGAACATTGTCAATCACCTTGAAACACATAGTCTATTGGTGCGGCTAGCCCAATTATCGTCACTGCCGTATTTGAACATAAAGTAGCGGAATTTTCTACAAATAATCAATATTGAAAAAATTATGGAAGAAGAAACAGTGGACAGCATTCAAAGCTGACATTTGAATAATTGAAGGCCTAATCAATACGTTATAGTCTTAGTAGCTGAAAGTCTCGACTGAATCGAGTATTATAAATCATATGGAACAAATTACAGTGGAAATGGAAGATAATTCATCTGATTGTAGCTCGAACGAAAGAGCTACCGCACTTGAAATTGACGAAAACGGGACACGTTAAAAAAAAAATACAGAAAGTCTCGAAAATAAACTTTTTCTCAACATTGGTAGTCTGATTTCAACTTGAAAGGATGGATTAGACCTGTCGCGAATGATCGTTCAAGAGCTCAGTGTGGCTATACGTACGTGAACAATTTGATTTTTATTTTTACCTTTCCAAATCATTATTTCAAGTTAAAAAATGTTTGGTAGATACGACAGCTTTCAAAAATTAACTGCTGTAAATTTAAAAAATTAGGTACCATCTGAGTTGCGCGATTGAAAATTAACATGTTCCTAATTACTGACATTAGTGACACTTCAGTTTTGTGGTATCTGAACGGTACACAAACTACAAACTGTAAGTTCTGTGGTATTTAATTTTGGATAGTGCGCATGCGCGAACTGATTGCATCAGATATACAAGCGTAGCGGAATATAAAGCAATGTGGCGGAATTTTGGTCCACGNTTATGAATCGCTGCTATCGTCAATTCAATTCAATTTTCTTCAAAGTAATGTATATATCAATTCTGGGTAACTGGCATTTTGAGATAAAAGTTCTATAATAAATAAAGAGTCCCTTGGGATTCCAAGATATAATTTCGGATTTTTCTATATGACGTAAATAGATCTTCGCACAATATTGTTTTTCGAATTCTGGTTTTGAACAAATATTCCAAACAAAGTAGAATCTGATGATATATCAACGGAAGTCATGTCTGATGTACTCGAACTCCCACTGTCCTCGGGAGAACTTAGTCGTAATTTCCAATACTTTCTGTATTTTCTACTTCTTCAGAACGATTTCTTTTTCGGTGGTATATATTTACGGTTTGTGTAGCTTTTGATCTTCGAAAAACCTGTTTATTAACTTGAATTCCAACATCAAAGGTCTTTTCCTGTGTACCTGCTTCATCAGACATGCTTTGATTTTCAGCGATATCTTCGTTACAATTATACAGGGTGTATTTGAATCAGTGTAAAACATTCAAGGAGGTGACTCCTCATCGAAAAAAAGATAGGATCTTTCATATAAAGAAACTTCATTGGAGCATCCCTTGTTAAGATACAACCCCTTAAAGGTGGTACATAAAATTTGTATAACAATTTTTTTCAACAAGCACTGAAAAAGTTATAACATTGAAATTAACCTGACGTTTTGTACTACCGAAAAAACACTCAGCCAGTAATTTATTTGGTTCACCCCATAGTTGTAAGGGGTGGAAAACGCAACCCCTAAAATTTCCAATGTAACTTTTCGTCTTATCATTTGTTTACCATTTAAAAATTCATTTCCGGTAGCTTGTTTTATTCTAAACAAAAAATGTCTCCTGGGTTTTTTGCCCAAAATAAACCAGTTCGCAGAAAAAAATTATTTTACGAACAACTACAGAGATACATCGTCATAAATGCGAACTAGGTTTATTGTTATTTTGTAGTTAGTACCTGCATTCAACGATTAAAGGGTAATAAACAAAACTAATTTATTAATAACAAAACACACAACATGTAGAAATCATATTTACAGAAGAAAGTTTATTTTACCTCCTGAACTGTGCACATTTCGATTCACCTGGTAGGTACTTTTGCTTACTCTAATCGCCTGTCAATTTTTTTCCATAATTATCAAGAAATAAACTGAATGATATTAAATTTTGAAACTTACAGAAGTAAGTTTTATTTATTTGATATTTTAAAAAATAAAAGGGCTGACGACGTGCAGGGCAGATGCCTGCCAGGTCATGGGTGTTGGCCTTGGCGTGCTATGACTCATCACTGTACAAATTTCTAGCCTTACAGGAAGACCGTTAGTCAGAGGGTTCACTAGCTCTTGGACTAAAACCGAACACTGCTTTTTAGGGTCTTCAATTGTTTATAACTTTTAGAATTTTTTATTAACTAATTCTTTTTTCACAATGATCTAGACAATATTCCGAATCGAATGAGCCTAACCACTTAATTCTACTTAAAGTATGTCCATTTAACACGAATCTAAACTCATAGCCCAGACCAATATATTTCTTTTTCTTTCATATAGTTTAAATCATGTTCAGTAAAACATTTATAAAAGAATAGTTTCAATATTATTTTGTGTAGGTAAAACTCCAGTAGTGATTTTTGGTAATTTTATTTTATCAATTGTTAATCCGATTATTCCGCTAACTTTATTCATCAATAAAGTTGGTTTGTGAAAACTGCTAATATCATTTCATTCCGTCAAACCCCTAAAAGACCACGCATTCAAGCCGTGCCCGAATC